GTTTAAACATTTAAATTTTATACAGCCAGATCAGATAATTAACTAAGTTGTTTGAACGTTTTAATTTTATACAGCCAGATCAGAGAATTAACTAAGTTGTTTGAACGTTTTAATTTTATACAGCCAGATCAGAGAATTAACTAAGTTGTTTGAACGTTTAAATTTTATACAGACAGATCAGAGAATTAACTAAATTGTTTGAACGTTTAAATTTTATACAGCCAGATCAGATAATTAAATAAGTTGTTTGAACGTTTAAATTTTATACAGCCAGATCAGATAATTAAATAAGTTGTTTGAACGTTTAAATTTTATACAGCCAGATCAGATAATTAAATAAGTTCTTTGAACGTTTCAATTTTATACAGCCAGATCAGAGAATTAAATAAGTTCTTTGAACGTTTCAATTTTATACAGCCAGATCAGAGAATTAAATAAGTTGTTTGAACGTTTCAATTTTATACAGCCAGATCAGAGAATTGTAACATTAACATTAAGAGTAACATTAGTCTTTAATTTATTCCAAGTATAACTTGTTGGTAATGATTTTCTGTCGGATATTTTAAAATGTTAGACAGACAGATAATATGCCAAAGAACTCTAAATAAAAAATAATGTTTTAAACACTATTTTATTGTGTTAGCGCTGCGTAACCTTAGAAATTGTTGCTTTACACATTGTACAGTTTTTACATGTAATATAGGTCTTTCCTGTACATACATATTCTTTCCGAGAGATAGGTAGACTCTTTTAATAAATACAGAATATGAACTCAAAACATTCAATTTATAATAATAGCAAAGAAGGTTTCATTTGTATTTAGTTTAACTGATGAGTGACAATCAACTTCTTGAGTGCGACGAGTTCGTTCATTTATTCGTAAGAAAGATGTTTGTTTTACTGTAAAGCTACACGATGGTAGCTTTGTGATCAAACCAACTAAACAAACAAACATAAATAAATAAAAATATAAGTCAGATGTTGCTCAAATTAGATATTACTAGGTCATTATGGAACAGTGATCAGAATTCAAAATACTTTTTTCGTATTAATGTAGGTTCTTGAGTTGAGAATATTTATGTATATTCGGATATAAAAATGAGGTTTTATATTCACGTTATCTTCTTTTTTGAGCTCATACGATTTAGGTCACGATATCAACTACTACTTCGAGGAGTTTCAACCAATCAGAATAGTCGAATTCACATCATTTGGTCGTTAGCTAATATTGTTGTAATAACAGCATGAACAATATCTTTCGAAGATCGTAAAAATCGCCGTCTGTTGAAGATTTGGAAATAGAAAATAAGATATAAATTACTATTCACGACGGCATTTTTAGTGGGCGTAATCAATATGTTATTCTGTTAGTTAAGTATGTGGAGACGATATATCCGTCGATAAGGTGTCAGAAATATCTCTTGTTCCATATTAAATTTGCAGACTGAGAGTGAAACCGGATTTGAATTTTGATTTTCAAGCCAGCAATAAACATTTAATCAAGGCTATGGGTACGTCAATACAAAAGTTATAAACAGAAGTTAATTGTATGCTTGGATTTTATAGAGGTTGAACATTAGATAATAGGCACAATGTAAGCTCCCTGGATTGTTTATTTCTCTCTCATATGATTACATACAAAGTGAACGGAGCCGCAAATATATTATCTGTACAAAAAAGTAAATTTTTGTGACTAAGGACAAAAATAATGTTTCGCGTAAGCATATCGCAAGGCCTTGAATTTATCATCAAAGCAGCTTTACATACCCTTTTTTCTTCTCTTCCTGTATTTTCATTATTATTATTTATTTATTTACATGCTAGAAGAGTTTAGCACCAACGAAAACACAGAATGGCCTCCCTTCAATTGTGGAGTCCTGACGTCTTATCCTTATCATTGCGCAGACCAGATAGTGTTGCGCCGTCCCTAAAACCTAACAGCCAATCACAGGAAGTCAACCAGTTGGCATCAACCATTTTGCATTTATGTCTTATTATTATACATTATTATTTATCACTTTTTTCATACAATCATTTTTATTTTTAACACCAAGCACCCAAAGTAAATAAGCTAATTTCAATACTATTGCTTCTATTAATATTTTACGCTTGAAAACTTTGGCCTTGGTACAGGCTTTTTTTTGTCTTCAATAATGTTCAATTCAATTTAATTTATGTAGCATCTATCTTTCCCATATACGTTCGCGCTCGATGCACTTTCATTCTTCAACCCATTTCCTCCCAATCTTCCAGTAGACCAATGTGACCTCTGTTCCATATTTTTATGTCTAAATACTATTTAATTAATGATATAATTTGTAAAACTTATCACATCATCCAAGAACTTTGCCTTACCAACTAGGTGTTTCACTTTGTCATTCAATGATATGCCAATGTGTGCTGGAACTTAGGTCATTACCAGATGAACCTTCAAACCTCTCAAAAGTTTCACTCATGTTCTCTGGACAAAACCTGCTTTCAATTTAGGTTGTTTTTTCAGAAGTATGATTCTGTTATGATTCTAATTATTTATGGTCAACCGGACAAGTGCGTATTCGTACGCTTCTCATTCTACTCTAGACTGCCAAACTTTAGGTGCTAACCATTCAATCTCTAAATATCCATCTCTCTATATATAGATCCTGCTCATGCAATACCGTCTTTATTTGCTAAGCTACCCATTGCTGTGATCAGTGTTGGTCTGTGTTCTTATATCTATTCCATGAATTTCGCTGTGTTAACTAATTCCGACCTTTCCCTCTACATCTTGCTGGCAGTCATGAATGTGTTTAACTTAATGTCATTTGTTTGGACCCATTCAATACTTTGATGTTTCCCAGTTGTCATTTCACTTTTACGTCTTTCTAAGCCTCACTAACCTATAAATGGATCAATTTCGGTCTGTGTATTATATCTTTGTTTACTTCCCCCTCTCTAAAGTACTGATGTAGTGATGTGATATTGTTGTGTTTGGTCTGACTATCGCTTGGCTGGGTAGAGTTCTTTGTTTTGTAGTAATGTGTTAAAACCAAGGGTGTTGGTTTGGTTGCTCTTGTTAGTATTATCAAGGCTATATTATGTACCCTCTATAACTTTCATTGTCCATTGTAGTTACGATTGTTGCTCTCATGAAATCGTCGAGGTTTCTTTGCTACACTTTCTGGGCTGCAGCATATACAGCATATTTTAAGAGTAAGATTGTCCATGATTCCTCTCTCAGGTGATCGATATGTGCAGACATTATCCATCTGCGGTCAATCACAACATTCAGAAAAGTAACAGAGTTTTTATGTGAACTTTTCTGCTTGCATATGACAGTGTAAAGAGAGAGAAGCTTTATCTGAGTAAATGGGCACTTTTTTATCTATATTCCACTAACAGAGGCTTTTGCTGACTTCTTGCAAACCATTCAATGCTCCCGATGCTTCTTTATTCTCCTAAAAAAGAATTGTAAATTATTAGAAAGCGCTCGAGTTTTGGGTCTCGTTTGAAAACCATGTTTATATGGTGTCATTCCAGAACCTTCCAGCGCGCTGATAAGATTGTTTATGAATACACTGAAGAGGACAGGGCTCAGTGGGTATCCTTGTAGCAAGCCAGACATGATTTCAAATGTATCATTTTTCATTTGCCAAAATTTAACAGATAGCTCCAATATTGTATGTAAATGTTCGAGACTTCTTGAGCCTTTATCTTTGTTGCCACAATGCGAAATTTCACTCAATATCAGCCATCTTTAAGGTCAAATATTCCAATAGTGCGGTGCAATATTGTGATGGCTGCATACACTGATGGATGTTGTGCGTGACTGCCTCGATATTTGAGGTTGCAACTCTCTTCAGTATTACTCCTCCCACTTATATCCCTTCAATGCGCGATGGTGTTTTAAGGATTTTGACAAACTGTCATTGAGAAATTTCTCAGGTCCTTCGTTATTTTACCCTCCGTCATTTCTCTGTAAATATGTTTTGCCCATTATGTTTGCAGATGTACAGAACATTTCGCACGAAATGATCCAACAGTTTTAGAGAAGAAGTTGATGCATGATTTGATGTCTAAGGTAGTCGATAACTTGACCGTTATTTAGAAGTAGTGTTTAACAAGTCACAGTAATTGATGCTGGCCAGCTTTACACCTTTTGGAGCATATCCTAAACTTAGTTAAAACTTTTCAAAACAGCCATGATGCACCACAATTTCTGGATTAACTTCAGTGAATAATGAGAGCATTTTCTGAAACAGTATTACACCTCAAAATCAGAAGGAGTCCGTATTTGTTAACAACGACATTTAGCTGCAGTGAAAGAATTTTAAGGTATTTTGATTTTTTTAAAATTCAGAATTTAATTTATTTTAATCCATCAAATTTTATACGAACAGCGTTCCAGATTCCATGCTGCCGTTTGAACAACTTCCTCTATCGTTGATCCTACTCGGTCTGATTACTAGGATGACGTATTATTGCCTGGTACCCCAATTTCTTTTTTTTTAACAAGCTTCTACAAAGGTTAATCATAGAAAGTATGTCTTGACAAAATTTTCATAGACCCTCAACTGTGCGCAAACAATGATTTCCAAAACGATATTTATGAAAACCCCTTAGGTGAAAAACTTCAATGAAACTAAATCGAGAATATTTGACAGATTTGTTGTATAATTACTGTGATTCCAGTTTATTTGGCCATCTTTCTCATGAAAACAGCCATTGATTTCAAGGTGCGACTCATATCTTGTAGCCTTTTGAGTTATGATCCTTCGTCAATTTACTATTCTTGTTATTAGATTGCTAAAGGTACCAAGAGAGATGCCTAGCATCATTGCAATAGAGTTTTGTGTCAGAAGTGTCTCTTCCGTAAATACAGCTTTCATTTTAGTATATTAAACATTGCACTGGATTGGCTTGGGGTGTGGCCTAGACAATTTTTTGTCAAAAACGCTCTGTTTTGCGTATTTTGTCGACTAATGGGGAACATTGGAGCTAATGGGGAACTTCAAAATATCGAGTCCTTTGGCTTCTTGTAGTTTAACAACCTCCACTATATGATCATTTCTCGAAAAGCTGCTACATAATCATGTTTATTTGTGACGGTAGTACACTGTCGAAATGTTAGGAATTCGCCGTTAGCGAAATATATAGGTGCTAAACATGCTCTCCGTGGCACTAACACCGACATCTAAACGACACACTCTCTATTAATTACAATTTGTTAGCAGAAACTGCGATTAACTATCTTGGCTTGTCACTATAAAGATAATTCGTTTTATTTGTTTGTGTGTGTGTAAGTATACGTCACCCGGAGTTGGCTGGCTCGATTGTCGTTATTGGTAACTAGAAAGTGTCCAACGGGATACTATTTTAGTATTTTTGTCCGAAAAGGGGAATAAAAAGACCCTGTAATAGGGCATATTTTCACTTTTTTGTAGGTTTTTGGCTTTGACTTTAAGGACACAAGTACTTAATCAGTTAAATTAGTCAGTTATTACCTTCCACAGAGCAGGATACGCAATTAACATCTCGTTTGTTTGTAGTTAATTACGAAACTGCACGTTGGACCATCTGTGCTGTGGCCGCCACGGATATCGAAATCCGGCTTTTAGCATTGTAACCCTCTAGACTTATCGCTGTGCCACTAAAAAGCCCAATTAGCATTTAATGAGGTCATTAGGTATTTAATAACAAAAGAAAGAAGGAAGAGGTACATTATCTAACATTGTCCTTTATGCAACAATAGCTTCCTTTACGGGAAGTCTCAGTTAGTATGTAATAATGACGCTCACTTATAGTTGTTAGGTAGTGACTTTGAGCATAAAATTCAATAAGCCAAGTAGTTTTATATATTTGAAAATGCTGTATGCACGTGATATTTCTTTTCTTCGTGAAAGTGTTAAAGATAAAAGCTACCGTTTTAAGTGTGTTGGACAATTTGAAAACTTGGTTATGAATACCAGAAAAAGAAACGACAATTCATTGATTTTTTTCACGCGACCTTGTTTGCTGTATAATTAATTTAATCGTTATTTGAATATCAACATTTATATTCAGCCTGTAGACAGTTGCAATGTATATATATATATATATATACATTTCTGAACTTAGCATACAAATTGCCGTTTTTTCTACTCATTAATATTTATTTGTAATTCATTGTTCGCAAGTTCTTTTGAGAATACGACAGAGTTCAATATCAAACAGTTGTTCATTAATCTTAAATAAATATTGGCTTTGCCTCATTGTAACGTTTGTCGTTCTCAGAACTTTGTATTGGTAGTTCATCTTCAGAATGACTACAACTTCTTAAGCAACAATTATGACATTAGGAACCAATTGCCGATTGTCTTTAGTGCTGTTTTTGTTGGTCTCAAGATGAGTTTGAAGTGACGTATCGTTATGTCCACTTTGAATCAGGTTCTTGCTAAATTACATACATTCAAGTTGGGTTTGTTTGTTTTTGAACTTGAATTTCGCTCAAAGCTACACGAGGGCTATCTCCGCTAGGCGTCCCTAATTTAGCAGTATAAGATTAGAGGGAAGGCAGCTAGTCATCGCCACCCACCGCCAACTCTTGGGCTACTCTTTTACCAACGAATAGTGGGATTGACCGTCACATTATAACGCCCTCACGGCTGAAAGGGCGAGCATGTTTGGTGTGACGGAGATTCGAACCCGCGACCCTCAAATTGAGAGCCTTAACCTAACCTGGCTATGCCGGGCCTACATTCAAGTAGATGTTTATATAGTTTTTAACTAACAACACTAATTTTTCAAACAAATATGTGATTGTATTTCCGTCAGTTAGTATATTTTACAGCCCGTTTTGTTATTTTTTCTAGCGTGTTACTTTTTCTTACCCCCCCCCCCCCAGTGGCACAGCGGTTTGTCTGCGGACTACAACGCTAGAAACCGGGTTTCGATACCCGTAGTGGGCAGAGCACAGATAGCCCATTGTGTAGCTTTGTGCTTAACTTCAAACAAAAAATACTTTTTTATATTTTACCCTGTTACTTAACATAGACATATTTTTCTAAACCAATTACTTGCTCCGACATAATTACATGATTCCTAGGTTTTGTTATTAAACCTAATCACCTATATTATGTGCATGGTATGTTTTGTCAAACATAATCAGGTTAACTCACACTTTTCTTTTGTTAACTTTCAACATTTTTAATGGAGATTTGTTGTTGTATTTTAATGATAAAATAAACTGTTTGTTTAACGTTGAATTCGTAATTACATTTACCTATAGAAAACTAAGACGTTTATTTTGTCTTTACTTTAATATTTTTCTAATTGGTTTTCTGTTATTGCAGTAATTGAACCAAAATGTATTTGCTAATTATATTGCTCAGTTAGCTGACATCACACTAACAGTCTTGCGATTTAACTTCAGTTCTTTTGTTGAAATGTTGTTATTCCAATGTACATGCGAAAGTGTGAAAAATGATTAGTTGAATGGTTTAAATTTTTTTATTAGAATAAAAAGAAAATTTAAAAGCATAAATTGAGATTGCGTTAACAATATATATATATACTTCTTTTTTTAAAGATAATAAAAGATCACGAGAAATTTGTGCAATGTCATATTCGTAAACCTTACATCTGATCAAACATGATTTTTTTTTCAGCCATTTTAACTGAATGAAGTCTCTGGAAGAGAAAAACAAATATATTGAATTAACATTTTTACTTTATTTTCTTTAGCGTTTGTTGTTTTTGACTGAAAAAGAAGATTTTTTCCCCATTAGAGAAACTAAAACATCTATTTTATCATAAATCTTACAGAGTATATACAATATGAACATAACAATGATCATAGTAGCTTCAGTACTAGGATCTTTAGCGGTTTTGCTTACCATGGGAATCAGCATATTTTTTTGCTGTTTTTATTGGAAAAACTGTCGGAATAAAAAGTCCGGTCCAGATGAAACAGAACCCTTGCAAATGCCGAAGGCGACACCTGGAAGCAAGCCAGAAACCCAGAACGATAACGTGAAAAGTTTGATTCGACACAATGTAGAAGACCGAACGCAACCGGGATCGTTGCGAATAATACCATCCCTGAATACATCACTTACTACTCAAGTTGTGCCGTAAGTTAACTGTGTAGAAAAACAACAAAGAAAAATATAGTTAATTAAGAAAATAACTACAAAAGTGTTTTTTAACAATTCAAACATAATTTAACACATCATCAACTATTCTACCATTATTTGAGAATCTCAGACATGATTATTGATCTATTAAAAGTTAATTGACTTTAGTTCTAAGTGTTTGGATTTTTGAAGAAGATTGCACAAGACATATCGATAACAATGGTTATATGTAGATACTGATAGATATTATAGTACTTTAAAAATTAATTAGTTCTTATTAAATAGAGTATGAACGTCTTCAGGTGTTTATGGAATTAAAATACATGAATCGTAGCAAATGAAATACAATCATTTTATAATGAATAGCTCTAAAAATCAACAATATACTTTAGTTAAAATTGTTTAGAAATAGCGTAATCCTCCTTTCGGTTTTTTCTGACATAGAAATATGTCAGGTTTTTATAGTGCCGCGATTCTTTACAGTAGGTGTCTGTGACTTGTTGGCGATAGATTTCAACAATAAACCGATAGCACACAATCCACTTGTTTTAAAATAACACATTCAAAACAAGTCAAACGTATATACAAATGTTCGTTACACAAGTAATTACCACAGTTGAATTCAGAGCTTTGAATAATTCTCTTTTTCGTCAAAAGTCCACATAGGTTGGTTCAGTTACTTTAAAACCCAATTGACAAGATAAATTATTTTTCTCTACTCTGTTATTACAATACAATTTGCGATTATTACAACTTAAAAGTCGTCACTGTACACTTTGTGGCTAAAATTACAAACGTAGTCTAGATCTACTTTACTGTATCTCTCACTAACTTACTTACTTGCACTAGCATGGTCGCCTATATATATACATATATATTGCCCGCTTGAAGCCTAGAACTTTCTACAAACTACGAAACGTCATGATGTAACAATACTCATTTGAAGCAACGACAAAAAATCAGAAGGTTCGAGTAACATGACGTCAATTCACAACAACTTAACTATGCAACAAATGATTCCTAAGCTGTTACGTAAGCAAACTTGTAATAAATATCGCTTCTCAAAATAACATACTTTAAGGTTCCCACAATATAGACAAAATAATACCCTCGTATTAAACTTAAAATGAACAGTCGTGTACATCTAACAAAATATAAGAAACTTTAATTTTTTTTTTACATACGATAATCTCACAGGTAAAAACTTCAACACAGCAACTACAGCTATTTATTCGAAACATAGCTAGCTGTAAAAGATGTGCAAGAAATATGTCAATAAGATTTCACAATAACCAATGTAACAAAGATCGATCCACTGTTCGACTTAACCGTTACAATAACTTATCTGTTAAATAACATTTCAGTGGTTGCTAAAGGTAATAAAAATTGTACATTTTAGCAGTCTCTGGTCTCATTTAATAATAATAAAGCACCCCAACAAGTATTTATCTTTCTACACTTTAGATAAAAGCATATGTAGCTAATAATAATATGTTTAGGGTAAATTAAATCAAAGTCAACAAGCTGTCTTCTTTTCCTTATAAAATAGAACACTCATGCCAATACTAAAGTCATGCATTATTGTTGTGGATTGATAATCGTTCATATATATATATATTATAGTACAATTTTTATGGAATAATGAAGCACTTCTCCATAATAGACATGGAGAAGACTGGAGTTCCAGACTTAATTAAAGATTAGTAGAACTTATAACTAAAGTAGGTAAAACAGTTTGTAACTAAAGGGCAATGACCTATTGGATAGAGAGTCTATGAGTAAAGATAAACGCAGTAGATAGCTGAATGGATGGAAATTGGGAATAGTGCAATCGTGCATAGGAGCAAAGTTGGCATAGAGAATAGAACCAAAGTTCAAAGTGGAGTACGTAAAAAAGATAATAAGTGAGTAGAAATAAAGGAAAGTGGAATATATGAATTTTGACCAGGATTTGGAAGTGGAGAATGAGGATAAAGGAACAGAAAGAGTAAAATAAAAAATCAGCGACAAAAATGTGTACAGTGAACTGAGAGACAGGAAATAGACTAGTACAGTAAACAACACAAAATCTCGCACAGTTGGATAATTGGATAAGGTCAACAGTGTGATTGGAACAAAAAATTAGCACATCATATAGATAGCGGAAAGCAGATTAGAAATATGACTGTGAAGGAAAGGAATGAAATACAGGCTGAAGTCAAGGGTCAATGGTGCTGACTGATGAATTAGACAAAAGATTAGAACTGTATATCAGCAGAGTAGATGGGGGAAAAGTAGATTAAAAGGCTTACCTCTGAAGTAAAGATTGAAAAAAGATGAAATAGAAAAGACTGGGACGAATAGATTTACTTTTAGGAAATTTATAATTGGAATTCTGACAACAAACAGATATGACAAAAATACTGGAAATAAATTCCAAAGAGCAAATGAATGAAATAGACAAATAGAGATTAGGATAGAATTTTAAAATATTTATCTTGTATTATAAACTACTATTACTTTATGATCATGCAGTATTCGTAGACTTTTCATCAAGTAAAGTAACTTATACGTTGAGCATATATGGACTTCATCATCATACGTTATTATCCTGTAACTGATATTACGCATATGCAGACTCTCGGCTACTACTCTCTGTAAGTAAAGTGAATTTTACATTGATGATATGAGAACTACGTTGTCGAGCGCTATCATCCTGTAAGTAATGTTAGTTATATGCTGAAACTATGTAGACTTTACTTGCGGACAGAGCGCAACAAATATAAATACTTTATTTGAGTTCTATACCGCCCTTTGTATACAACGAATTAAATTATAAACACTAAAAGGCTTTTCATGATCCCCATCAATATGAAATCGAGCTGAATTGTATACAAGATAAGAGGGTTTGACTCACGACTACACTGCCATCTAAAGAGCTGATATTACGTAGAATGTAGGTATGGACACCATCACTATTTGGTTATATTCTGTTATATGTTGAAAATAAGTAGAACTGATTGATGGCTATTACCATTCTACTTGAAGAGGTGTCACATACTAAGTATTAGAATAAATTAAATTTATCCATGACAATCATCATTCTAATGTGTGGTGCGATGTGTGTTGTAAGTTCTTAAACCTCAATTTTGTCTGTCTCAAAATATAAAGATTTTAAGAACCATTATAATCAACATTCAATAATTAGAGATGTCACATGTGGGGAATACAATTATCACCTTTAAGATCACCACCGCTCTGTAAATAATATAACATTAAAGGAAAACAAGGGACCTTTCGGTCGAATAAGGCCGTTCTATTCACTAAATTAAACTAAACGCTAATAAACTCAAAACCAGCTCTTATCATTGAAATATTAGGTCGTCAAGAAATTAATGTCGCTTTTTTTTAGATTAAAAAAACCCGAACAACTTATATATCGATGTCCTCTTTAACACATGCCACATTTGCATACGTTTTCCCATTAAGATGGTGTTGCAGCGAACGAAAAAGATGATAATTTGATGGTGCCATATCTGGAGAATATGGTGGGTGGGGGAGAACTTCCCAATTCAACTCCATAATCTTGTGTTGCGTCAAACCTGCCACATGTGGACGCGCATTGTTGTGGAGAAGAACACCTTTTCGATTGACGAGTGAAGGGCGTTTCTGATGAAGGGTTTCATTTAAACGTTCCAGTTGCTGACTGTAGATCTCTGCATTGACATTTCACTGTGGATTGAGGAGTTCAAAATGAATTACTCCTTTGATGTCCCACCAAATGCAAAACATCACTTTCTGCAAATGGAGTCCAGGTTTTGGGGTCGGAAGTAATTTTTGTCTAGGACTGAGCCATTGTTTTTGGCGTTTAATATTCTCCTAGAGAATCCATTTTTCTTCACTGGTGACA